TATAATTAAATTTCTAAAAATATTAAAATTATTGAAACTCGTTCTTGTGAATAGAATAACTACTACATTAGCTGATTAAAAATGAATCGCTTACAAATCTTACAAAGCTCTTACAAATGCTTCATTTAACTAAATGGACTACCCTTAATCTCAATCCGCCACGCGTGTGAACATTTTGCATAAGAAAAACTCGCACGGCCTCCCGCTATGAACGTCAGACCAGGCGCAAAGATAAAACACATTTGCAGAGCGAAAAAAAACTGGAATGGAAAAGATAAATCGCCTCGTGTTTAGTGGTAAAAACAATGAAAACGCCCTGTCCACCTAGCTGCGGAGCACATAAATAATGCAATGGCAGCCGTTCACCAAAAGGAGCAAAAGCAGCAAAAGGAGCAAAATGCTGCCCAACAATTGAGCATAAGACAAAGCAATTCGCAAGGTGGCCAGGTGAACAGTCGACAGCAGACCGGGCTTTATGCCCAGACAATGGACCCAAATATATCACAATGATGACGAGTGATCAATAACCAAAGCAAAAAGGATAGTCACAGTAAGTGGAGGCTCTGAAGACGCAGCTCCCTGTTCGGCTATAGAAACTTAAGATAAGTGATGTGTTGAGGGAACAATCGGGTGTGATACGAACAATAGCATGCGAATACTTCTATTCAAAATAATTGAAAGAGCTATTCAAAGAAGGCGAGAGGTACGACAGGGATTTAATACTTCTATAGAAATGGACCACTAGAATTCACAGATCTACAGATTGCATGATAAAGTAAAACAAAAGGAAGTCCCTTTACAGTTAGTAAGCATATTACAGTTAATTTATCTATAAAATTTGCATACATTTTGGGTCAGTAGTTGCACAATCTTTTCAGCTAAGATGTGGGTATACTCACTCTATACCAAATAAGACATATCGAGTTAATCAAGTAATACAATATAGAAGATTTCTTAAATGTTTATGATATCTGATATTGAATTCTATGATATATATCAATGTTTCTTTTATCTACATATGGTATATATTATATAACACATGGACACAGACACAATCACAATCCTGATCAAGAATATATGTATATACTTAATCCCACGCCACCTTCCGGCCGTTACTGATATTTTTTCACAACAGTATAGAACCCGAATTGAATTCAGAATAAACCAATAGCATTAAATCTTTTATTATTTATTT